CATAGCGCGCTTCAATTTCTTCAATGCCATTATACATAAACATTGCGCGTCAGACTCACGCTTGGAAATCGAATGGACTGTGCACAATAGCATCGGCACAGGTGAGGCGCTTAGTTATGTACTTAGTTGACTAATATTTCCTACACTTTTTTTTTTTATTCATTACCAGTTTTGCTATTTAAATTCGGTAATAGCGGCAAAAAGCAGCTGAAAGTCAAGCCCTATCAATTATGGTTTAATTATCACGGCGCGGTGGCACAATCCTATATGATTCGCGTGAATGTGGACGAGCACCAAGGCGGCACAGTGGTACACAAGAAAGTTAGGGTGAGTGTGGTTGGATATATCATAGATTTACCTCTATTCTATCGCTTTTAAACAGTGTTACATCTTCGTTATGTCGAAGCCAGTTTCGGCACTAATTTTAGGTGGAAGCACACGTGAAGTTGGCGTTCGTCAGTCTTTCTTCTTGGATGGCTCTGAAAGTCGTGATTTTGCACTGTCACCGTTGGTCGAGCAAACGATGCATTTCAAATGGAGTTGCACTTCAGCTGATGATAGTTTTAATAGCTACTGCCACGAAAATATGGGAACAGGTATGGAAATGGGAAAATGTTTTAAAGGTTATTGCAAAAAAGCGGTAACTAACATCGTCACTGAAATGCAAAAGACCTTAGCTAGCAAAAAGTTACAAATACACTTTCTGATTGATTACACTGCATTCGGCTGGGGAATTCACGAAACCAAGTTTTTCTGAAAGTTTGAATGGTATATCGATGGCTGAGTGGAAGATCGACCTATCTCGGCAACCAGTTCAAAAACGCCCAACCTCAGAAAACTTTTCAAGAACGCCCTGCTTCAGAATTTTATTGAAAAACACGTCTCAATTTTTGAGTTTGGTTAAAGAACGTCCTATCTCGGAATTCGGCTCAAAAACGCCCTTTCTCAAATGAAAATGTGTTGAGAATGTACTGAGATAGAGCGTTTTTGAATCGGCAACTGGGATAGGACGTTCTTCAACCAAACCCAGAGATAGGGTGTTTTTCAATAAAATTCTGATTTTCAATAAATTCTGAAGTTGAGCGTTCTTTAAAAAATTTTTGCTGAGATAGCGCTTTTCGATCTTCCACTTAGGTGACGATACAAGCAAGTACATAATTTCTCATTTTTCCCAGGTTAGCGATTTTAAGCAATTTTTTTCAATTTGAAATTTGTGGTCGCTGAGTTGCTTTTAAACAAATTAAATTTGATTTAAATGTTAATATTTAAACCAGACAAACGCCTTTCTGTGAGTTTTTGGGTATGAGCAATCTGAATCCGCAATTCATTTTTGCCATTTATTTTCATCAAAAACGCCGCTGGGTGAGATTTTGTGCGCTTTGATGCAATAGCACATGAAGAAACATTGCTTAGCAACATTGTTGAGAAACATTGTTTGCACTTTTCCTTCATGTTCCAACCATTTTGTTTTGCAACAAAGCGCACCCCCGCGGCCGTTTGTAGTAAAAACAAGCTGCAAATTCAGACCTCCGGAGAGGCCTTTTATAGGTATAAATATATTTGCATTTAAACCAATTGTAATTGTTTAATTTTTTAATTTAAAAAAAACGCTTAAAATCACCAATCTGGTGTGACAGTCCTTAGCCAGACGTGAATTTGGGTCGTTGCGGTTACGTAGACCCGACTGTCGTGTGAATATCCTGGAAAGGCCATACAGAGTTGTAGCTACGACCACTTAAAGGACTGATTGCAGGGCACATAATACATGGATATAGCATAGGTAACATCGACAACCCACTGTGTGCAACTTGCTTGCAGGGTGTTCGACCTTCGTCATGCTGATATGATGCACTTTTGAGTCCAATATATTGAGAATAGACGAACTTTGTACCTACCTACCCTTCCATTACTATTTTCTCTTCTTTAATTATAATGAGCAACTGTTCCACAACTCTATTACAGTCCATTCAGAATATCGCAATCTAATAGCGCTAGTAGCAGCTGAATTTTCGATCAGAAAATATCTATTGGTACTAAATCGAATAGAACGTTGAAGGCCTCCGTCGGCTGGCCATCTTTGGCTTCAATACTCTCTTGTTACTCAGCATTTCTTTCCTTAAATAGGGCGCCAACGAGGCGTTTCGTGTTTGCTCCAAAATGTTAGGAATATTCAGCCTCCACTTATGCTTGAGGTCGAGAAATTGTATTTATGTTCAGTAAAGCTCGGTAATTTTATTTTATTTTTACAAGTCAGTTCTCCACTGATTCACAAGATGAGAACAATTTATGGCCCAGGAATCTATTTTGCCTGCGCACTCCATACATGTGGCTACAGCGTCAACATAGGCCCGCATCTTGATTTCCTGGCACTCTAGATTTACTAGTAGTTTGTTCTACCTACATATATGTATTTATAAAGTACATTTTTAACTCGAGAGCTTATTCTTAACTAAATTATTTTCTTATTTTCTCGTGAATCTAACAGCCAGCAAATTAAATATTCCAGCTGGAGTGCTACAGCTCGGCAAGTCCTACACATTTAAATTCCAAGTAAACTCATACGTCAGCACAATGTCGCGCGATGTTGCAAGGCAAACCATTCAAATAACAAATGAACCCAGGCATTACGTCTTCATTGAATGTGTACGAAATTGTGCTATGGCGAAATATGCGGCCGGCCGGAAAATACATCTGCTCATGCGCTGCCCCACTTGCGGCGCGCGACCCACCATCACATGGACGGTTAGTAGCGGTGGCAGCTTCCCTAGCAATGCGCGGCGTATCGGCTTTATGCCACCTGCCAGTGGCGATATTATAGTTGAAGCGTCCACTGCCAGCGACTCGATGAGCGGTAAATGTAAAATAACGCTATCCTTGAATGAGCCACCCAACGGTGGACAGTGCAGCATAAAACCCAGCAGTGGCGTTGAGTATGAAACAGAATTCCATATAACGTGTGACGATTTTGAGGATCCAAATACGCCCATAACTTATCAATACATAGCCGATACATTCACTTTTGATCGCACCAATGAGCGTTTGATGAGCACGCGACTACCGCTAACGAACAGCCTTAAAGTTGTGATATGCGATTTCCTATACGCCTGCACCGAGACGCAGTTGTCAGTCAGCGTATCCCCCATGCAAGTACCGCAAGATGAGACTGCTTTGAGACTGTTGCTATCACAATCGGATAGTAATATAGCTAAACTTTTGGAAGATGGAGATGTCGAACGCGCTATGGTGTTGGTAGATGTACTCACGCGCAGCACGCTGACATTGGCAATGGGCGAGATAATATTTTACCAGCTACGTTGGCTCGAATTGGAAACACTCTTGCAAGTTGAGCAAATGACCAAAGTAACAAGAAATCTGCTCGCGCCTTTACAACCGCTCGACAATAAGCGAGTGAGCCTTTTCACCAAATTCTTTCGCATGATTTCGGTTGGCTTTCACTATGTCATCGCTGATAGGGAGTATCAAGAGTTGCTGCATGCGCCTTACGAAGTACTCAATAATGAAGTAGTCGATTTGATTGCAGAATTCTCGGCGAAATTGGAAGATATGCCACCTGTGGTGCGCATACAACCGGCTAGCAGCGGCTCAGGCAATCGGTTGAGCGAAAGATATGCACCACTACCCGACTTCGATGAGACTGTGCTTGCGCGTATCGAGAATTGGTTGGATGTTATTTTCGAATCATTTCGGTGTCTACATTATGTGGGCATTTCGGGCACCATTATGCATGAGCCCACTGATGATCATTATATACTAAATAAACCCGGCGTCAAGGTGGACGTATTCAGTATAGAGGGCACGAATATGCTAAAATTGGAAACGGCTAATAGAAAGATTGAGATAATAGTGCCATCTGGTATGCTGGCTGAACTTGAACGCATACTGAAAAGCGCACAGCTGCTCTTTCAGGTGGTTTCCTTCGAGAGANGAAAACCCCATAGAGTTTCGCATGTCACTATCCGGAAGTACACCAGCGACTGATTCACTCACCAGCCTTGTTGAAGGCTATGTCAAGGATTCACTTGATATGCCTATTTACCGCATCGAAATGCCAGAGAATACCGCCGCGATTGTAAAATTTTCTGACCCCACCACTCGGCTGCGTGTCAAGCTTGATTTGTGCACCAAGCCGCGCAGCTATCAAATGCGTGACTCTGGCGATATTGTGCCGGAGAAGCACACCTTTCGCGTAGTCAACGACAAGGGCGGAAGCGTGTGGGCCTACCTTGCCGTAATGGCAGCAGATAAAATTTCCACGCTGAAAACATTCAAATTTGAGATTACGATGCTGAAATGTCTCGTTTGGGACTTTAAGTTACGCGATCCTGAATGGTCAACGACTGGTTGCGTACCCAAGCTAAACTTAAGCGATGCAGAAAACTTGAGTTGCAGTTGTTATCATCTGTCCACGTTCGCGGGCAAGAAGCATCCCACTGCCGCCATGGAAACTAGTACACCGCGTCATGTGCTCACTCGCCTACCTACGAATGGCTATATGGTCGTAGTTTTCTTTTTTCTGCTCCTACTATTTTCGTTACTCTTCTATTGCGCCTGTCGTTCTTTGCGCAATCACAAAGGTGAACTGATTACATTACTCGATCAGGAAGACTACAACAAAGAGTTCGGCGTCAATGTTCACATAAGCACCGGCGGACATTGGCATGCGGCTACGTCTGCAAATGTTATTATAATGTTTGCTGTACCGCAAGGCACGCGCAAATTTATAATTTATCAAAATCCCGAGAATGCGCACTTGGTGCGCAACTCCACTTGCACACTACGCTTACCACTGACAGGCGATGATCTTGCTCAGCCACTGCTGCTCAGCATACGTCGTGACAATTCCGGCCGCTATCCCAGTTGGTATTGTCGCCGTATTGTCATTGAGGATTACGCCAACGAAATCATCTGTTCGTTCGAGGTTGAAGCGTGGATAACGACGAAACCGTTAGTTTTGGATGCAGCAAATTTCCGCGAAGGTTCACAATCTTTTAAACGCACCTTCCGTGATACGCTGGAGAGTCTCTGCATACAGTGGTTCCTATTTCAGGCTCTGGTAGGACCGTGGAAATATGGCGATTCAGCTTTGAATCGCTTCGAGCGTACTTGCATCTGGACGGTGAAGTTGGCTGTAACAATTTGCATTGTTGCCTGCTATATGGGTCCGACGACATTGAAGACTTATGAGGAGGAGCGTGATAAATACAATAATATTGCTTACGATTGGGTGGAAATATTTTTCCTATGCATTTTCTCGTATATTATTTGTTTCTTTGTGGAGATCGGCCTTAAGGCATTCATTTACCACGATGAGTTGGAACGAGAAAATGCTGATGAAGAATATATCAAAGAAGATTGATTTAGCAAGTAAAGTTTTTTATCTCTAGCGGTATAACTTAGTTATTTATAATGCATACTTATAGATAAAGGAAGACATTGTAAAAAGTGAATAAACTTTTTCTACATTAATGGTTCACAATAATTTTCTGAAACAAATGGTTTAAATGAGTCTTTTTATCGTCATTATCAATAAAAAAGTCCATATTTGAGCACCTAAAAATTTTAAGGGAGAACCCTAAAAGTTTTACCATCTAATCGGCCTAAAAAATACTCTTAAAACAGTAAACGTGCACACAGATAGCGGTGCTGTGTCGAAACTTTGGCTTCGAATCCGACTAAACTGATAAATGCGTAGCGATGACCCCGAATGAATCCTTCTCCGCACAAAGATTTCTGGTAAACATATTTCTCGGATACTTCGCAGTTGAAGGGAAGAGTTGCAGGAGTTGTGTTCTGCCAGGAACTCTCCTTGAACTTCAATTTTATGCTCACGGATTTCTGCAGCGTATTTCAAGCAGAGGTGGGTTTAATTAAGTACTAGGTAGTCGACTGGAAGTGTAAATATTTACTGACAGCCAAGTGGTAATCAGGGCGTTAGAAAGTGATTATGCTGCGATGGAAACTAGTCAGAGAATACCTTGAAATACTTTTTAATTCAGTTTGTTTGAGTCCCAGCTCACTCTCGAGGTTGTTTCTCCTCACAGACAGTGCTGGGCAAAATCCTTGTCATGTAATGTTGTAAGCTTCTATGATAATGGTTCAAACACCTAAAATCGTAATTTATTATAACCATAGAACCGTGACTTGGGTACGCAGGGCCCATATTTATTTTTGATGTCGAATGGGGTATAGGAAGTCCAATTCGATTGATAGACATATAGAATGTACCTTTATTTATAAGTTGACAAAATTCCAGGTGTATATTTACCTCTCATAATACGAAAGTAACGGTATTTTATATGGTGAGTTATTAAGAAGCTTAAATTTTTCAGACGAAATACTTTACTGGGCATTGAGTGCCCAAGTCAAGAAATTAAGGTGTATAGCTGTCACGTTTCTCTGTGGTTAAAGCACTCGAGGAACTGTAGAAGTTAGCCTAAAGAGATTTTGAGGGACGCATGACATTTAAGTGCAGCATTTCTCAAACTTTGTGTTACTGTTTCTGTAGAATTTTTGGTGGTATTCAGCCAGTATTAATTGTGAACGAATTTAAAGACACCTGCTTTTCATCATACCTTGGTTGGTGGTAAATTTTGTGAGTCGAACTCCCTTGCGCTCCGATTGGCCCAACGGATGCGATCTTCAAATATGACTTTTCGTTAGAGCTTCATTCGGAGACACCAGGATTGAGTTGTCCAGGGGTCAATCGCAAATTAGCGCCGTTATATCAACCATCAGAACCATTACGCTCCTGAATAAAATGTTTAAGGTATTTGGTCTAAAAAAAAAAATCTATATACATATATAGGATTTCTGTAGAACAACGTTACTCGCTCATATACTAGTATAAAAACAGTTTCAAGGATAATTGGTGTTAGTTCCGGTACTTTTGTATGAAGACGACCGACAACTTGTAAGAGTTGTCGAAAAATGGAAGCAGATAATACCCAATTCCATATTATATATGTACATATGTACCTTGGCTTTGGCAAGAGGATTTTATAGAAGATGTGTATTAGTATGAAAACTGGAAGTCTTATCGCGTTATTATAAATCAGCCAAACCTATGTAACTGCTTCAGAGTTATCCCCTGACCGAACACAGCCTAATAAAAATCAGAATTTTTGCGTACATAAAAACTTTATTGGAAAAGAAACTATTGACAATTTTTGGTTTAATAAAAAATATATGGCAATACAAATTTTCTTTACTTAATTTAACGCAAATAAAACATTGTAGGAGAAGAAAATTATTGAATATATATTGAAAAATAAGAAATCATAGTTATAGTCGTCATAGTCAAGAGAAAGGTGCTGCTGCTGCCAATACAGTTTTGCGAGTAGCATTCGAGCTATGAGAGTATTGGTATTGTTTACAAGCATTTCACCGTCGGTCGTCATCGTTTTCAATTTCGTTTCAATTTTATAATTCTCACCCACTTTATTAGTTGACTAATTTAATGGGCAAACGCCTTGCCATATATCGCCATGAATCATTTTCGGTGTAATACGCACCGTCTTCTTGTTCACTTGCACATTACGTATGCAACCCTTGAATGTTTTGCGGGTCTTCAATCCTGGCGCCTTATTAAAGGCCTGATGACCGCCCAAGAAGAGTGGACGATTTGTCTTGGTCAACGTTGAACCATCTGTGCCAACACCGGGATGTGTGCTTATGTAATCCACCGAAATGGTAATTACGAATTTCGACTTCACTGCTTGCACATTACGCCATTTACCGTCACAATAGCTGCCATTATCGGGCAGCGTGTAATTAGTTGTGACAATATTTCTAGAGTCTGATTTGACAGTGAACACCAGACTGTTGTCGACCAACTCCAAAATCATGTAGGCATTCTTGCCGTGCACAGAGAAGAGTAGACCGTCGGGTTCGCGCGGACGGATGTCGAAATTGATATTGAAATCAGTGCCCACAGAGAAGCGATCGAAGAGCTTCACAAAGCCGACCGGTTTGCTGAAGAACAAACCCTGTTCTACCTCGGTTGAGCATGGCACTGTGTGGTATGCTTCTGGCTCCTTCTTTAGCGGTAAATCATTTAACCGCAACTCTTTGAGACAACCATTATAGAAGGGATGCTCATCAGCTACATACTTGATGTTGCGGTTGAGATCTTCTTCCCACAACTTTGGCACGCCACCCACAAAGAGTGTCATGTTGCGTACATTGAACTCATAGTTGTCATCCACACTTTCGCTGGCTGAGTCCACTTCATTTTGATCGATGAACAGCGTGACGATGTGTTGTTTGCGCGTTATTTTAACGGTATGCCATTCGCCGTCATTCACCTCTTCCTTGCTGGCAACCTCTACTTCATCTCGTCCCATTCTCACCTTATGATGCAATTTGCCATCCACAAGGTAGATCGCTATAAAATCGATGTGTTGCTTACTGCCCGCATAGAAGAGCAAACCAACTGGGTTTTCAGTGTTGAAGCGCAGGCTAACATCATATTGTTTGCGCAACTTAGTTGGTGGCGCTATTTCGAGACGTTGTTCACGCATCGAATATAAACGATAACCAGCTTCGTTATAGTCGACATCGAAGTTTGGATTCGTTGGAAGTTTGCAGCGTGGATCTTCTGGTTGATTTTGTGGCAGTGCGGGTCTTGCCGGGCCGATCTCAGGCAGTAATGGTGGCAATGGTTTCGCCTCGGGTTGTTTTTCGAGTTCTGTTTCTGGTTCTGATTCTGCTTCTCCCTCGCGTTCTGGTTCTACTTCCTCGCCCTCACCGAAACGTGTTTCCATAATGGGAGGACTCTGTGTAGGCGGTAGCTTTGTCGTTGTTGTAGTGCTGGTTACAGTCGCAACTTCAACGGGACGTGATGTCGTTGTGGTTATGGGTGGCGCCTGCGTGGGCGCGAATGGCGCTAATGGCGGTAGAGCTGGTGCGGCAAAGTTACCGGGATACTCCGGCTCTGGTAGTAGCTCATTTGCGCCTTGAGGGAAGTACAATGGCACATCAGCAACGTCATAAGCTGTAATGAAAAAAGGTGGCGTTAACTTTAGCGCAGCTCAGAACTTTTCATAGTAGAGAAACCCCTTACCTAAAATATCTGTTGGACAATTATTGATATTGCCATTGCGCTTTTCAGCGCTGTCAGCGAAATTGACGATCTCTCCGTTGATTGTCACATCGCTAATGCAGCCCACAAAGTATGCCAAGGTGGGAAGCGCGTTACGCACTGGTATGTAATTATCCGGTAAACCGCCAAAGAACACATCGCCTGCTTGTATATACAATGGCTCCGGCGTGTAGGGTAATCTATAATGCACAAAAAAAAAAAAATATTACTAAAATTAGTATCTACCCTCTTTACTCAACCAACCCAAACTCTGTTCCACTCACCGTTTATCTTCCGTGTCGTCTATGGACAGGCGCAACTGATCGCCATCATGTTGCACAGTCACCACATGCTCCTCGCCATCGTTCAGCTTCTTCATGTCCGATACCACTTCAGCGCCCATGCTGCGCAACGTCAAATAGCCATCGTTCAGTGTCAAACCTATATTCGCGCTCTGATCGTGATTGGCGCCATAGAAGAGCACGCCGTCGCGTTGTCGTGTCTTGAACTTAAGATTTACATTCAGCTTATTGTCCGACGACACGTTAGCCTTGCGCAGGTAGCCGTATTCATTTGGCGGATATGCCAAAACTGTTGAGAACTTCTTCGGACAACCTGGCTTGACGCCATGTGCTTGCATGTTGTTACCCAAATCCACCTTTGTACCCGAAATGGACACTTCATCAATGCAGCCATCGAAGTTCTGCTCAACAACGGCCGAATGATTACGTTTGCCAGGGTAGCCACCAAAGAAGATACGTTTGGGTATTTGCATTGTCTCGCTGGCATCGGCTGGCGCTTCTTCCTGCGATATCAATACATTGTCGACCTTCAGCTGACCGCGTCTGCCGTCGCGTTCGGCCACCACTACATGCCATTTGTCGTCATTGTAGCGATCTTCACTGCCCGCTGAGACCAAATGCTCACCCAGTTTGTAGCGGAAGAATACACCACCATTCACCAACTCGACAGACATGAACTGATCATTGCGGCCGTAGAAGAACATCAGACCGTCTTTGGAATCTTTCGATGCCTTAAAGCTGAACTGTATGCTGGANAGTTTGTAACGGAAGAATACACCACCATTCACCAACTCGACAGACATGAACTGATCATTGCGGCCGTAGAAGAACATCAGACCGTCTTTGGAATCTTTCGATGCCTTAAAGCTGAACTGTATGCTGGAGCGTGCCTTCAAGTTGTAGGGTGCGGCCTTTAGCGACACATAGCCATTGCCATTGAAGCGATAGCCTGTTGGTGGTATCTCCTCGGTTAGTAATTTATTCCGCGGCAATGCGCCTTGATTATTCTCCAAACCAAATACAAAGTTCCACAAGCCCGCATGCTCATCGCCTATTCTGAGATCTTCGATCTCGCCTTCGAAAGCATTGCTTTGTATATCGTGCGGTGGCGTGAAGTCAGCTGGCGGTGGCAAACCGCCAACGAACAAACGGCTGTTGCGATCGACATTGAACACATTGTTAGCGCCAAGCAATGGCTGTTCGCTTGTATGATTGGCCACGGAGCCGTCCTGCAATTCTTCATAAATGATTAACTTCGCATTCGAGCCCGTGCGATCGACCACCGCCTGGTACCAGTTGCCGTCGGCGACATACTTATCACTTGTGATACGTTCGGGACCATTACCTACATCGATCGTCAAAATCGGATAGCCATTTACGATCTCGAGCGCCATGAAGTCTTCGTTGTCCTTGTTTGCGGGCAAAGTGCCAACCGATGAGGTTCTATTGTGATTACCCAAGTACATGAGGAAGCCGTTTGGTTTCTCTGTCTTGAAATAGGCTGACACCTTCGTCTTGGTGGCTAAGAGTGGTGTAGTCTCCGGTGTCTTCAGTTCCAATACGGTGCCTGGCGAGAAGCGTACGCCCACCTTAATGTCATTGGCAATCTGGCGTGCAGTTTCAATTTGGCGCTTCAAGTTCTCAATATCTTCGCCCAACAACTGACCGATCTCTTCCACATTCGCCTGTTCTTGCTCGATTATTTCCGCCAATTCATTCAGCTGCGGTATTGTGTCTTCCACCGTGTCTAACTGCGATCTAGCCTGTGACAAGTCTTTGGTTGTGCCATCAATATCCTTCGAAATGTTGCGCGCCTTCTCCAGCTCCTTCTCCGTTTGCTCACTTACTGGCCGCAAAACGTTCAGCGCACCGTCAATTATGTTCAGCGCGTCGCTGGCATTCTGGTTGGCATTCGTCCATAGATCGCGTTGCGTATCGACCGACAACTTTTGCAAATCGATGTTAATCTGTTCCAGACGCTTCTCGGTGTTCTTATTCAAATTGGATATACCCTCCACTTTGGTAGCGGAGACATTCAAACGTGGTTCCAGCTCGCTCTGCACCTTGTTCAAGGAGCCACGCGCTTTTTGCAGCAGCTCACCAGAGTCTTTATCTGCACGACCGGCGCGATCTTCAATGCCATCTGTGATTTCCGTTGCATTACCAGCAGCGAATTTGGCCTCCTTGGTAAACTGTTGCGCTGAAGAGACCGCATCTACGATGTCGCTATAGGCTGTTGCCGCTCTAATTGCCGGTTCCGCGTTGGCGGTCATGTCGGCGTACTGCTCGGTGAGATCATGTGCGCTTTCGCTCAATTCGTCAGCGCGTCGTATGGCCTGTACCGCCAACTCGCTTACTTCGCTATTTTCCTTCTCCATTTCGGGCAAATCGTCGTCAACATTCTTGTTGATATCTTTTAGATCGGAGAGTACACTGGAGAGTTGCATAATACGATTATCTATATCGACTAATGCCAGGTCACCGTTAATAAGGTATTTTCCGGCTTCTACAATGTTTTTGTCCGCCTCCTTTTGTTGATCAGAAACTGTATCGAATTTGGAGTTATCAAACGCTTGCTTATTCAAGTCGTTTAAGTGTTCCACGTCGTAGGCATTATTTGTCGCATTGCCGCTCCAATAGTAGAGATCTTCAAGTTTATCACTTAAATCGCCAATATCGTCCTTCAGCACATTCAACGTCTCATTTTGGATCTTGATCGGTGAAATAAGTATGTCCACCTCTGTTGTGACTTCTCTGGATTTGTTCAGTATCTTCTGATTGGCAGCCAAATCGATTTTGGTATCACTCAGTTCTTGCAGTATACGCTGCGCTTCTTCCAGTGCACTATCGATCTTCGTGCTGGCCGCCGTTTCCAGGTTTTTGGAAAGCGCATCCACCGAGTTTATGGCATCGCGTGCCTCAAAGGCGCTCAGCTTAGACCTCTCACGCAAATCAGTTGCATTCACTATCAACTCACTCGCCGCCTGACGGCTGTCCAATGCATTACTCATGCTGAAATTAACCGCTTTGCCATACATCTTCGCCTCCGATTCCAATTCAGCAACCAAAGCACGCGCTGGATCCAAATTAATGCGTTTCGGATCGAGACTTGCGACATCAGGCGCAATTTTATCGGTCAAATCATTGTAGTAGTTCAACTTCTGACTCGTGAAAAATGCGAGCGCCACCGATTGGAATTCATGGACAACTGGATCGATTTGATAGCGTAGACTATCGGTCACATCCAGCAGCGCATCGTGGCACGAATCACATTGGAAGCAGCCTTCATCCTTAACCAACACCCAGCGGTGGGGACATGCATCGCAACGATCGCCAATGACGCCGGGCAAACATTCGCACTGGCCAGTAAATGCGTTACAGCCAAATCCACGCGAATAGCCTTGATTGCAGCGGCATGGCTGGCAGCCTTGTTCTGTGTAATTCCAATGATCTACGGCGCAGCGATCACACTGGCGTCCCGTAACACCCGGCTTGCAAGCACATTTACCTGTGTGCCCATCGCACTGCGTGGAGTTGGAGGCCACACCACAATCGCACGCGCGACAACCCAAACCCGAATCGAAACCATAATGATCCGGTTCACAACGATCACAGCGGTCGCCTATCACATTCTCGTGGCAATGGCATTTACCCTCATACGGGNCGTCCCGTAACACCCGGCTTGCAAGCACATTTACCTGTGTGCCCATCGCATTGCGTGGAGTTGGAGGCCACACCACAATCGCACGCGCGACAACCCAAACCCGAATCGAAACCATAATGATCCGGTTTACAACGATCACAGCGGTCGCCTATTACATTCTCGTGGCAATGGCATTTACCCTCATACGGATCGCACTCTAGCGTACCCAATTCTTCACAATCACAGCTCTGGCAGTTCTTCAGATTCACTGCATCACCATAGAAACCCGGCTTGCACAAATTACAGGCCACGCCAAAGGTGTTGTTCAAGCAAAGCAAGCACTCGCCGGTGATAGTGTCGCACGAGCCCGGCTCTTGTGGATTAATATTGCCAGAGCATTCACAAGGTTTGCAGTAGTCACCAGCCTTCTCGGGTTGACCATAAAAACCGTTGGCGCACGCCTCACAACGTGGACCAGTGTAACCCGGTTTGCATTCACAGTGTATTTCATGGCCGGATTCGGAGATTTCACAGCTCGTCGCAAAATTGTTAGTTTCATAGGGCAATGGACAAGCGCAAATCATGCAATCGTGTGGTGAGCCATAAGTGGCATTGCCATAGTAGCCCTCCTGGCAGAGCTCGCAGTGATCGCCGGTCGTTGTGTGTAGGCAATCTTTGCAAATTCCTGTGGCGCAGTCGCAAGTTTGGGCATGTCCATTGCACTCGCACGGTATACAATAGCCACCGTAAGGACCGTTTGTGTCACGGTAGTAACCAGGTGCGCAATCTTCGCAAGACAAGCCTGTATAGCCAGGTGGACAGTGGCAGCGTTCAACCGCTAGGAATTGGTAATCACCAAAATTTTCCTCGTCTTCGTCGGCGAGCGTCAAGTATGCGTTGGACAGATACGAAATGAAGGTCTGCTCATAGTAATTGGCACGTATGAAGATCATCTTCAGGTCACGTAGCGCCATCATGAACTCAGCGCGTGTAACCAATTTGCCATTCTGTGTTTGGAAGTTTGACTCAACCATTTGTACGCGATTTGTGAACGCCTGATTGCTCGTGGGCTGCTCATAGCTTTGATGTACCAGTAAATGATCTTTGCTGAGTAAAATGACATCAGGCGCCAGCAATGGCTTGCCAGACGGGCCGGTAGTGTAGTACAATGTGTAGGCGAGTTCGCCACCATAAGCCGATATGTGGCTATTCTGATTGAGTAGATAGTCGAGCACACCGAAATACACAACGTCTTCGGCCTCCACATCGTTCACTTCGTGGAATGAGAAATCTGCCTTCAACGTGGTCTCATTAACCAACAGTTCCTCTTGCGGTATATCCCAAATTTGGAAATCAATCTCCTTCTCATTGAACTGCGCTGAGTTGAGGGTAACCTTCTTCAACAAGCTGACATTGTAGACCCGCAAGTAGGCGCTCTCGCAGCGTGTGGTCTTGCCAAAGCAGAAACAAGATGTGCAGCCATCCGCATTGCTATCCTGCAGATTGTATGTGCCCTCCTGACACTGATCGCAATCCCGACCCACAACATTGCTTTTGCAGAAGCAACTGCCATCGACCTTATCACAAATTTCCGCCATGGTACCAGCCACATTGCAACTACAACGGTCACAACGCGGAAAATCGAAGTACCCATTCGAGCATATGTCGCAAGCGCGTCCTTCTATATTTTGACGACACTCGCACGAGCCGTTGAACATGTCGCACTGCTGATTACCATTCGCAATACCCAAATAATTGCAATTACAGTCTTCACAGCCTATTATCTGATGGAAGCCATATGTGTTGGGCATGCACTTCTCACACTGTTCGCCCATCACATTCGGTGGGCACACGCATTCGCCGGTATTGGGTTCGCACATGGCCGTGCTGGGACAGTCGCAAGGCTTACATTCGGGGAAGCCGTAAAAGCCAGTGCGGCAGGCATTACATTGCCGACCGATTACATTCGGTTTGCACTGACATTGACCGCCAAACGGATGGCATTCAAAGCTGATGGAACCCTCGTAGTCACAATTGCAGGGCAGCGCGCCAATATTGTGCTCAGCTGTTAGCGAGAAGACTGATTTCTTGCAAAACTCGGAGGCATTATGGGTGATGTGGAAGTGATCTTGACCACAATCTTTGATGAACTCCTTCGTCTGGTCGAACAATTCCTCAACGAGTAAATCGTCATTGTACTGGTTTATTGGTACGATCACCAAGTAGTCAAGCCAGACACCTTGTGGGCGTGTATTCTAAACGGGGCGAGGCAAAAAGGAATAAACAATTTTCGTGACTTGTTGTGTAGTTGAAATTCAAAATGAACTTACCGTCAAAGTGAACTTGAAATCGTCTTCAATATCGAACCACTCATCTTCGCCAGTAGGTTGTATAACACCACGACAGNGCCAGACACCTTGTGGGCGTGTATTCTAAACGGGGCGAGGCAAAAAGGAAGCAAACAATTTTCGCTACTTGTTGCGTAGTTGAAATTCAAAATGAACTTACCGTTAAAGTGAATTTGAAATCGTCTTCAATATCGAACCACTCATCTTCGCCAGTAGGTTGTATAACACCACGACAGCCAGAACTGGACGGACAATGACTAATATCGAATTTGCCGCTATATTGATTCTTGGCTGTGGTCAGCGTGTAGAGAACATTGTATTTCGGATGATGCGGCTGGTAGTATTTGACCAAAATGACATATCTTCCCGGTTCGCTTACTTGTGAGCTGCAAGTTAAGAGAGACAATATTGATTGGCTTCGAAAGCAAACGATATACAAATANATGACATATCTTCCCGGTTCGCTTACTTGTGAGCTGCAAGTTAAGAGAGAAAATATTGATTGGCTTCGAAAGCAAACGATATGTAAATAAAGTAACATCACGATAACGCGTTGTGCAAGGGAATAGCAATTTTTTTTTTTTGAATATCACCTCTCTAAATTTTGAGGAATTACGTTTTATCAGACACCGGTAACTAAGGCTTTGACTTACTCAATCACAATGGTGCTCATGTTTTCCTTATTATCCAAATATACCAGCTTCACACGCTCATCCAACGCAGCATATGGTGGCTTATTTTCAGCAACGCGATCTTCGTGATCAGTTTCAAATTCGATTTTCTTCGAGTCGGGTACCGAGCGGAATTTCGGTGCGGCACATTGATTATTGTGTGTAACGCAAACAGCACTGGGTTCGATATAGTCAATGGACCATTTATCCACTGGTATGGCAGTCACGGAAATAATCGCAACACGGCCAAAATCGTCGTAGTCAGTCTAAAGTACAAAGGGAATATAAAGTTTTTGTATCACTCAAACAAATCCACAAAACGCAGCTACAACTTACACTAACGATTACGGGCTTTAGATCATCCTTAGAAATGTAAAACGGTTTCTCACGACTGTTCTCATCGATGATCGGCGTGCGACAGGCCATTGAATAGACGCAAGGATATAAGGTGGTAGTGCCGTAGTCCTCCTCATTATTGCCCAAACGCAGTTTGACGAAGTATGGCTCGGCAAATTGGCGCACGCTTACATAATCGATTACGAAAATATAACGCCCACTATGCGGCACATCGACAATGTAGCTAAGCTCGCGCTGAGTATCGCTGATAACTGGTATATCACCCACATGACCGATGATCGATAAATGCTCAGGATCATCGTACACTTCGATGGGATTTGTAGGTTTGCCATTGGCACCAACAATGAAGGGTGTGGAGGATGGCTGGAAGCTAAAAAAGTTCAGAAATTTGCATTAATTTCTCTTTAGGTTGTGTACAGGAGCGATCAAAGATTTACTCATCCACGGAGGCGTATTTATAATGACGACACAGCTCCATATTGCCCAATTCGCAAGGATTTGTGATCTTGCGTGTCAACACTGAGGCTTCATAGTAGGCCGCTGGCAGTAGCACGAAATAGTCGAGCATTACATTCTTGCTTGCTTTTGTTGTGAAAGTGTAGCGGGAACCAGGATCCAAAACAATCGGTGATGGCTTATTACCCTTTACGCCCGAGACAGTTACGAATTGTGGGGCGGTTGTTGGACGCAGCAGCACTTTGACACTAGAAATAAGAAGTATATTAGATTCCGGCTTAGATTAATTTTTTAAGTTTCCCCCAAAACGGCACAAATCTGCGAAAGTCTTGAAGCCTTTCAACTCTTCAGAACTCCGAACCTTCTGCTTATTCGGTTTAATCAATAAATTTACGATTTCTCACACTCACTTTTGATCCGCTTCGATTGGATTTTCCGACTGTATGAGTATACTGGCAGTCACATTGAAGGGATTTTGATTTACATAGCGTATTACGATGCGATATAGTGAAGATTTCTTCACCATAAACTCATTACGCACTTCATTCTGTATGTCATTGAAGACCGCATAACCTTTGCTACTGAAACCGGGAAACACATTCTCATCGTATTGATAGCGCACTTGTGCACCCGACGGCTGTGAGCCTTCTTCGTATTCATATTGGAATTGATGCAGCGTGGGGAAGTAGTGAGTTGTCAGCGGCTGCGTGCAACCTCGTCCAGTCACACGCGGATGACACTTACACTGTCCAGTCAATTTATCGCATTCCCTACGTTCCGCACCGCCCACATCACAGCTGCAGTCCTTGCAACCGAACAGCGATGAGCCATCCAAATCGTATGTGCCATCTTTGCACTCTCTACAAGTGCGTCCCTGTGTATGAGGCTTGCACGTACATTGTCCCGACTTCGATAGACACGTATCCAAGGCGGCAATTGTACCATCCGTCCAACAGTCACACACTTCGCAGCCATCTGGATTGCTGATAGTCAAATTCCAGTACAACGGTTTACATTCGTTACAAATACGGCCCGTAACGCGTTCCTTGCACTGACACAATTCGCCTATTGGCACTGAGCCGCAGCCAGCAAACTTGTCAATAACACCAGCCGGATCACAATTGCAATCTTCACAGCTGGGGAAGTTGTAGAAACCCTCCTTACAGGAGTCGCAAAGTTTGCCGCCGAAATTGGGGTAGCACGAACACTGTCCATCCGCATTACAGGTGACACCTTCGGATCCGTGCACGTCGCAGTTGCAAGCTAAAGGGCGAGTATGTAGCAGAGGTTTTCATACATTTTTTTTTTTATAAGTGAAATCAAGTTTTTAAAATACTTACGCAAGCATTGCGGGTAACTGTAGTAGCCAGCACTGCAAAGTGTACATTGTTTGCCGGCAAAGTTGGGTAGACAGTTACATTTGCCAGTGTTGTCGCAGGTGATGGCTGTGCTGCCTTCTGTAGAACAGTTACAGTGCTTGCAGGCCGGATAATCATAGTAACCAGGTAGGCATATGTCACAACGTGGCCCACCAAATCCTTCGCGGCAAATACATTGGCCTGTCTCTTTATTACAGATTTCCGATTCTGTGCCCTGAATGTCGCAATCGCAATCTGAAAGCAAATGGATGCAGTGGAATTAAATATTTACTTAGTAAGAATGGAATTAAAAATGTTCTTTTTCATAATAGCAATAGCAAGACGGGGTTAGGCCGCCGAAGCCGCAGTTCTTGGTCGATCCACTCAAACCCACTCAGCTAACACCTCTTTAACTCTGGTACAACCCCGTCGAAGCAGCACTTTCTTACCGTATTAGTTGAGACTAACGGTTTCAGGTGGGGCTTAGTATTGTCGCTACTACCATTGACAACACCCAAACTTGGTTTTGTAGCCACCTACATAAAAAAAAAAGTCACCGCGGGTTATTTCAGTTTAGCCCGCGTAGATCCCTACCTCTACACCCGTTCGTTCTATTTACATTTCTGTTATTCTGTTTTCCTTTATCTTTATCTTTATCTTCATCTTTATACTCTATCGATAACAAAATCGATAGAATCATCCAACAAAATATCGCTAACAAAATCGATGACAATTTCGATAAAAATTCGATAGTAAAATCGATAATAATATTGGTAGCAAAATCCATTAAAAGCCGATAAAAATATCGATAAAAAATCGATAAAAATATCCATAACAAAATCGATAAAAATATCAATGACAAAATTGATAACAAAATCGATACCAAAAACGATAAAAAAACCGATAACAAAATCGATAAAATATCGCTAACAAAACCGGTGACAAATTCGATAAAAATTTCAGTAGCAAAATCGATTAGAAAATTGATAAAAATATCGATACGAAGTCGATAAATAATCGATAACAAACTCGATGTGATGTGAAAGCAAATTATCTTTTAATTTTTTTCTTTTGTTTTTCAAACTTACATTGACACTTGGGATAGTTGTAGTAGCCATCTTTACAATGCTCGCACTGCTCACCACCAAAGCTGCTTAGGCACTTGCATTGACCCGTCACCACATCGCAGTCATTGCTGATCGAGCCAATCTTATTACACTGGCAAGCTGAAATTTTACAAAATATATGGATTAGCTAAAATGCTCACAAATAATAAAAAACTCTTAAATGTCAACTCACTTTTACATTCGGGAAAAGCATAGAAACCTTCGGCGCACTGTTTACAATAATGGCCAGCGAAATTGATTTTACATGGACATTCGCCATTAATTGGCTCGCAATGATGACCCTCAGTGCCATTCAAGTTGCACTCACACTCACGACAATTGGGATAGCCATAGTAGCCATAGGCGCAAGAGTCGCAATTTGGCGGTTGGAAGGCCTTACGACATTCGCATCGGCCAGTTTCCTCCTCACAATGGCCGGTCGAGTAGAAGTATTCACAGTTGCAAGCTGCAAGTGGCAATTATTAATTATTTTCATAACATTCCAAAAAAAAAAGTTTGCACTCACGTTGACACACATCAGTCTCATTCCAGAATTTGCCGAACGGTCGATAATATTTGCCCTTACACTTGTTGCAGTTGATGCCCTCGGTGTTGTGTTGACAATTCTTGCAGACGCCACCGCCATCGTAGCGCCCATGTATATCCAGCGACAAAGCCTTGCGATCGACTTCCTCATCATAATCACATTCGTTCGTGTGACCGTGGCAATTGCAAGCTGCAAAGCAATTTAAAAAAAAATACATATAAGCGAACATTCCCATGCTGCTACCAATTTTTTTCGCACTCACGTTCGCATTCGAATGGATGCGCATTGGTGTTCTGTCGCCATTTCTTCTGCTCAAAGCCCGGACAGCATTCGTTACATTGTATGCCACAGGTGCGATGCTGGCAGCGGCATGCCAAAATACGCACCGGACTTTTCGGATCCTTCACATCGCAAGTATCCGCATGACCGTTACACATGCAGCGACCACCAATCGAAATATCCTTAATCGAGTAGAAATAACGACGCGTAACTGTCGGATCCTGACGTGCTACCGACATCAAATGGCCAAGTAAATTTTTGGTACGCAACAAGCGTATGCGCACATTTGTGGCACGTGTCCATTCCTGCAACACCGTTGAGTTGAAATAATTCGAAGCGGAGGGACGATCGTTCAGCAACAT